TGTGTGGGGCCCTAGCCATGGGTGTGTGGTCCATCTGTGCTCTGAATGCATCCGTCCACACTGGTCTGATGACAAGGCTGTCATTCTGTGGCCCCAAGGTCATCACCCACTTCTTCTGTGAGATCCCCCCACTCCTTCTCCTCTCCTGCAGCCCAACATATGTGAATAGCATTATGACTCTTGTGGCAGATGCCTTTTATGGAGGCATCAACTTCATCCTCACCTTACTCTCTTATGGCTGCATCATTGCCAGCATCCTGCGCATGCGCTCTGCTGAGGGCAAGAAGAAGGCCTTTTCTACCTGCTCCTCCCACCTCATCGTGGTCTGTGTGTTCTACTCATCTGTGTTCTGTGCCTACATCAGTCCTGCTTCCAGCTACAGCCCAGAAAGAAGCAAAGTGACTGCGGTGCTGTACTCAGTGCTCAGCCCAACCCTGAACCCCCTCATCTATACACTGAGGAACAAGGATGTCAAGCTTGCCCTAGGGAGACTCTTGCCCTCTTCCTCACACTAAGTGGAGATGTGCAGGCTGTTCTCCTGGCCTGGGCTCTTCCTACACATGCCCTCCTGAGAGCAGCCCTGTGGAGTGGGGTGTACCTATTATTGTTTTAGAAAAAAAAATCTCTGATACATGAATTGGACAATTCCATTTACTGTAACCTCAAAACAACAAAAAAGTCTTTAGATACAATGTAAACAAAATACTCAGGTTTTATCTCCTAACTAGTACAAACCATTTCAAAAGTAAAGTTTATTTAAATGGAGATCCCATGTTTCTAGCCTGGAAAGTTTCTGTGGGTGACAATTGTGATAATCACAAAACAAATCCCTTTCCTCCAGTGCTGCCCTGTAAACATCCCAGGGCTTTGTTTCAGAACTCTGGCTTAGAATCTAAACTTCAAAGTTGAGTGGTTCTCCATTTCACAGCTGCCTACTGAGCCGTGGAAGTGAAAGCTGAGATGGAGAAAGCAGAAATATATGGAGCAGATATTAAGTTTAAGTTTCAAAAATGAACTCACATGTGTGAGTTCAGCTTACTTATGACAGTGATGACAATCAAACTCCTGGGAAAGATTAATTATTTCTGACAAAACGTTTTGGGGAAACTAGATGAATGAATGTCTAAATGCCAAGGGTAAAGTGAAAGTCTTACATCACAATATAATTAAAAATCATCAAAAAATAGATCACAAACAAAAACGCTAAGGTAAAACTTTTTTCTACATCATATTCTTTCCCCTCCCCCCACAACTCCTCCATAAGCCTGCCTACCTACTTTCCTACTCACCCAACCTGTCTCTGTCTCTCTCTGTCTCTCTCTGTCTCTCTGTCTCTCTCTCTAACTATAAACAAAACAAAACAAACCCAAACCAATAAGACAAACCAGCATCAAAACTAACCAAAACGCATGTGTAAAGACACATACACACACACACACACACACACACACAAACACACACACACACACACACACACACATACATAAACACACACAAATGGATTCTGTTTTGTATTTACCAATTACTCCTGGATGAACTCTTAAAATTCTCTGACAACAGAAAAGAGGTAGAGGAGGACAGGCGGTGGAAGGGAAGAGCATGAGACCACTGCTAAGTGGGAAGACAACTCAGTGGAGAAAGGGCAGCATCTACAGCAACTGCTGCTGAGATGATGCTGTATCCTTTTCAGACTGAACACATTCTTCATCAGTTTACTCCTTATTCTTCTTAAATG